AGCCATCTAGCTCAGAAGCAACAAAGCCCACATGGAAAAAGCATACCAGCCTGCGTGATCATGAGGTGCTGAAGGGATTGGTTATCAGGCATCAAAGAACAAAAAATCATATCACTGTGAATGAATGGGAGTGTGGACTGGAGACCCAAAGCCCATCTGTAGGCAACTGGACATCCCTTACAGAAGGCTCACAGGGAAGAGATGAGCCAGTCAGGGTGCAGCATAGCAACATTTTACTTACATGTGATGTTAATGAGATTGTTAGATAATTTCCACATTCTGTTATATCATCTATCTTTGGAATGTGCACACATAGGTACACTCTTCTAATGAACTGGCCAGTTAGCTGTCTTCCAGATTTCTTGGCACAGACAAATGAGTGGCTCCAGGTCTGAGTTAGCATGCTGAGACAATTGAATTAGTATTCCATCACGTTCTGGAACCTTGTTTTTCACCAGTGCCTTGTGGTTCTTGATCTTATGCTACCTCTCAAAATAGGTGAACATTGACCAATTATTTTCCATACAATGGCTGCCTATTGTTTCCCATTGTCTCCCACATTGTGACACATTTTGCTCATAGAACCCTCAAAATTGCTAACTGAGGCTCAAATTTTTTCTTCAATCCTTTCAGTTTGGAAAGAACCGAGCCTGATATCCCTTTTTTTGTTTTCTAACTCTAGGACTTTGTAGATTTCATTATGATATTTTACCTTATTGTCTCAAGGTGCCCTTGGAGATTTTCTGCCCAGCTCTCTTCTTCTTCCTTTAAAAAAAATATTTTTTAGTTATGCATCTACATATTTAAGAGAAAGTTTCAAAGTCTGTTCTGAAATCCATTTTGGTGTTTTCTTTCTTTCCTGTCCTTTTAGCGATCTTTTGTTTTCTGCGTGTATGATGTTCTTGATGTATGTCTTATTTTTTTGGTGAATTTTTTTGGAGAAGCATCTCACAATTCTTCTGGTCTTTGGTCATTAGTATTTAATATGTCAAATCTGTTCTTGAGATGGTCTCTAAATGCAAGTGGGATGTACTCAGCATTAGCTTTTGGCTCTCATGAAATTGTTTTAGTTTTCTTTGGCTTCAACTTGAACTTGCATAGGAATGATTAATGGTTTATTTAACTGTCGGCCCTTAGCCTCGTTCTGACTAATGATATGGAGTTCTTTTCCTGTGAATTCCATCTGGTGAAGTGCATTTGTATAGATACCATGCATATTGTTGAGAAAGTAATACATGCCATGAAAAAGTCATAGGTCTTGAAAAACTCTACCATGCAATCTCCAGACTAATTTCTATCAACAAAGACATTCTCCAAATAATCATCCTGCCTTTTTGTTCCCACTTTTTCCATTCTAATCACCAGTAATTATCAATGCATCTTGATTGCTTGTTTGATCAATTTCAGACTGAAGAAATTGGTAGAATCTTCGATTTCTTCATAGTGGGTTTCAGTGGCTGTTGCAAAAATTTGAATAATAATTATATTAACTGGTCTTCCTTGTAGATATATGGATAGTATCCTATCACAGGGAGTATTATACTTCAAGTTTCATCTTGAAATGTTCTTTTTAATGATGAATGAAGTAATAATGTTAAGTCAGTGTCTTCTTATGCCAAAAATACCCAGAAAAGTTGAGCAAACTAATTCTTTTTTTTCTTTCTTTAAAAAACAAAACAACTTTTATTGTGAATTGGGTGACAGGGTACAGCACAGAGCAGTTTTCAATTTAACGGTTCATGCACACTTTGTCTCCTGTCATTGTTTTGTTTGCTTTTTTTAACTAAAAGATCATTTATTGGGGATTCTTACAACTCTTGTTACAATCCAGACAATGATTGCATCAGGCATGTTTGTACATATGTTGCCTCATTCATTTCTATATGTTTACTTTCAATTGAGCCCTTGGTATCAGCTCCTCATTCCCCCACCCCAACCCCCATACCTCCTTGGTAGATTATAAATTGTTATTATTTTCATATCTTACACTGGCCACTGTCTCCCTTCCCCCATGTTTTCTGTTGTTCCTCCCCCTGGAGAGGGTTGTATGATTGTGTGTCAATCATTGTGATCAGTTCCCCCTTTCTCCCTTCCTCTCCCCCCTTTATCCCTACCATTCTGGTATTGCTATTCCCACTCCTGTTCCTGGATTCCGTGTGTCATGAGCCCCCATCTCTTTTCTCTACCTGTGTACACGTCCTGGTCTAGTCAAATTGAGAATCAGTACTGCAGTCATGATAGTGGGGAGTGAGGAAGCCTCAAGGAACCAGAGGATATTGTGTTTCATCAATGCTTTACTGCATCCTGGTTGACTCATCCCTTCCTGGTGGCCCCTCTGTGTGTGGGGATTGTTCCATTGTCTACAGATGGGCTTTGGTCCTGCTCCGCCCCCCACCCCTCACCTACATACTCGTTCTCAACAATGTTTTTATTTGTTTATTTGTTTGTTTGTTATGTGTCTTCTGATGCCTGTTACCTGGTCGCTTCTATACCTCATAATCACACAGGCTAGTGTGCTTCTTCCATGTGGGCTTCTTGTTTCTCTGCTGAACGGCCACTTGTACTTCAAGCCTTTAAGACCCCAGACGCTATTTATTTTATTAGCCTGGCACCATCTGCATTCTTCACCACATTTGCTTATGCACTTGTTTTGTCTTCAGCGATTGTGTCAGGAGGATGAGCATCTCAGAATGCCAATTTGTTAGAACAAATTGTTCTTGTATTAAGGTAGGGTATGAGCAGAGGCCCGAAGTCCATCCACTACCACAGTGCATTGCTGTATAAATATATGTACATAGGCCAACACCTCTGTTTTTGTGGATTAATTTATGTATACACCTATGCTTATACTTCTGTCCATTGCTTTGCTTCCTAGGTCCTTCCTCTGATTCCTTGTACCTTCGTCCTGCCCCACCATCACTTTCCCTCTATTTCTGCCCCTTAGAACTTCCTCTTAGCTAGTTTGCTGTTGCTCTGACACCCTCAGGATCTCTATCCCTCCTTGTTGTTGATTCTAATCATCCCCTAGTTGCTCCCCTGTCTATGGCATTGCCCTCCGCCCTTACCCCTCCCCTAAGTCCCCCGGAGCCTGTTGGTCCCACTCATTCTCCTCCGGCTTGCTTCCCACGCCTATCTTACCTAAGTAGACAAGCCAACTATGACATAGACCAGACAAACTGAAAGCAAAAGATTTAAATAAGAAAAGGAGGGGAAAGAGAAAAAAGAAATAAAGAGAAGATTTTTTAAAAAAAGAGAAAGCTGTTATTTTCCCTTCTTGGTTTGCCCCGCTGTGCGAGGTTCAGACCGCACTACCTCCCCACCATGTGGCCCCAGATTTGTCCTCTGTCGCAGTCTGTTCCAGTAAGGGGATAACGTGGCACGAGCTGTTGGCCACACAGTCCCCTGTGTCCCAGTCGCTCCCCACAGGGAGGGCTTCCCCTGGGCCTGGTGTGCCAGCATTGGACCCAGACCCCCTGTCCCTTTCTCTCCTTCCGTCCTGGTCTGTGTGGGCGTGGCATGCTGGCCCCTCTCCCCAACCTGTAGGTTTAGTGATGTTTTCTGTCACCCATATTTCTAGGGATGGGGCCAGATTGTTTCTGTTTGGGCCCAGCCCTGTAGTGGGCTCTTTTCATGCATTCCTCCACGTGCCCATGGAGCAAACTCATTCTTAATGATGTAATTCAAGAAAACATTACGTAAACAACGATACAGATCAGATACTTAAAGAACTATGTCCTAGGGAAAAAAATGTTCTCAAATTTATAAAAACAAGAACACATTCTAGTAAAGTTAATAGGCTTTTAAAATATGAACTATTCTATTGGTGTTGAGACTTCTGACTAAAATATAAAGTCATGTCAATGTGATTTAAAATATTTCAAATATGCATATTAGTAGAAAGGCTAATTATTTAAAATAAATAAATGATAGATTTTTAATAAATAAAAACAAAATAGCTAATAGGACCTACCTGGACTCATCGCCCTTCGGTATATTCTGACTCTCAGGAACCCGACAGGGCAGAATAGAATTGCCCCCAAGAGTTTCCAAAGTATTCAATGTTTATGGAAGCAGGGAACCATGTCGTCCTCCTGCAGAGCAGTGGGTTTGTTCAAACGATTGACATTATGGTTAGCAGCCAGGCATCTTAAACACTATAAATATACATACATTGGCCCCAAAAAAAGTGTTCATGAGAACATCCAGAGCTGGACAGAGTTTGGAGAAAGATGTCATTTTGTGTATGGTTGATGAGAGTACAAGCTGGTGCAGATTTTTGCAAAATACTTTATAATTAGCAAATATTTAAACATATGTAACATTTAGTACAGCAATCTGATTTATAGACCTAACTTCTAGAAGGAAAAAAAATCAGTAGGAATACTTAAATACAAGGAGATGCATTCCAGCACAGCTTTTATATTGTTCTTATCCCCTACCACCTTGATTAACCCACACTGAGTTCTTAGGGTGTTTTAGGGGATTCCTTTGAATTCTCTATAGAGCAGAACTTCTACCAATCAAGATCATTTCAATAATTTCTTTCCAATCTGGGTACTATTTATTTTATTTACTTGCTAACTTGTGTTAGCTGAACCCTCCCACATAATGTTGAATAGAAATGGCCAGTGTAGAACAAGTCTTGAATTGTTCCTGCATTTTAAAAGAAAACATTCAGTCATTCAGTATTTAATGTGATGTTATATATATATATAGTTTTTTTTAACAGATGCGTTTTATTAAGGAAATTCCCTTCAATTCCTAGTTTGTTAAATGTGTTAACACATGAAAGAGTGTTGGATTTTGTAAAATACTTTTGCTGAATTTATTGAACTATTACAGCAGACCTGCTGGCACAGCAGTTAAACACTGCTTGCTACCTGAAAGATCAGTAGTTTGAACACACATCAGCCATTACATGAAAGAAAATAGCAATAACCTGGTTCTGTAAATAATCAGAGGCTTGCAAATCTTTTGGGGTGATTCTACTTTGTTCTATTGGGTCGTTATGAGCTGGAATTGACTGGGTGTCGGGGAGTTTCTGTGCTTTATGTTTATTTGGTTGGTTTTATGTTTGCTTGTTTTGGTCAATACCAATAGATAATGTATGACTTCCGTGCTCTATTATATTAATTTGGTGTATTACTTATTAATTTATTTTGGGATGCTAGAACTATCTTACATGTTTTATAAATGTTGGATTTGTGTGTGAATACGTGTTTGTGTTTCTGAACTCAAATTGCTAGTTTTTGGTTAAGAATTTTTCTTTATGTATTCAAAAGAGATATTGATCTATAGTTTTATTTATTTGGGTCTTTAATCTTACTTTCAGAGTAATACTAGCCTCATAGAATGATTTTTGAAGTAATCCGCATATTCTTAGGAAGGCATTTGTGATGCATTGGTATTCATTCATCTTTAAATAAGCTTTTCTCTGTGGTGGGAGGATTTTTACATTTGCTTGTTTTCCCTGAACTGTTTATGTGATTTGATTGACAGTTTGTAGAGCAAGTTGGTTTTCTAGTCAACACTTCACACACATTTTGTGTCATGACATTGATAGTAGTCTCCACAGTGTAACTGCTCTTTTCTCACTTCTTTCCTGCTTTGTCAGCTCTATTTATCCTTCCTTCTTATCCATTCCTGCTTTCTGA